AACGGTTGGATTAAATCCTTTTAATCCACAATAATAAATACTTTGCTTATCCTAATATATTATCGTGAAATGTAATACTAAAACATTTATAAATTTACAATAAAAAATACATGTATTTGCAAAGCAATGTGTTGTAATAAAAACTGTTTATTGGGTAATAAATGGAATCCATAGTATTTAAATAAATTAAACTAAATAGAAAATATTTAAAATTAAAATATATATTTACAAATAAGTTTACTTGCAAGTAAATAAAACATGATTTTTTTGGTAAATTGTCCATGTAGTTTTTTTAGAGACTTGTCTATATTTTTTTCGTAAGTCTATAAAGTCTATAAATTCTGTTAAAATCAACTATTAAAAAAAAAATACTTTTTTTTAATATACATATTCACAGTTTTATAAACAGCGAAACCACAGTAAACCAAGTGAAACATTCGGCTAGCTTATCAAAATTATAAACTGCATTTGGAGGAGGAGAGACGCAAAAAAGAAGAACTGCCGAAAAAAGACCAAGAAGCAGAAGGGAACAGAAAAGAAGAAGATAGAATAAGAAAATGCTAGAGCGGGACCAAAAACACATTGCCCAGTATAACGAAATTCTTCTTAAATTAAGGGGCTGAAGAGAAGGAAAAACTCTTAATGGCAGACAAATTATATAAAAAAGGCAAGTGAAAGATTAAGGTAGGGTGCAGAAAATTACTGAAATTTGTATGCCTCAACTAATGTTTGAAGGAGTGAATCAAGATTAGTTCTTGCCCAAGATTTAGAAAAACGAAAGGCGAAAATTATAGATCAGGTGCAGCCCACAAAAAAAAAATTGTATATTCTGTAACAAGTTTGGAATACGGCATATTCCGCTCGAGTGAAAAGTTTGTCACACGAGCCGAGGGCGAGTTTGACGGTTACACGAGAGCGGAATATGCAGTTCCAAACGTGTTTCAGACTATACTTCTTCTACGTCTCCAAAAAATACAATAAAAAAAATAATTTAATTGGTAGAAAGTGAGGTTGGATCGGTCTAAATAAATTTCCAAGAGTTATTACTTTTTTGAAGAGAAATTCGGTTGGTTACGAGCCTAAAAATTTAGACATTCTAAGGAATTTTGGAATGGTAAAGGTTGCCATAACGACTTTTAGGGACTAGGCCCAAAAAGAAGCATTTTACAGACTTAAATGAATCCTTGAAATAGCTATTGTAGCGAGTACCCCTCTGGATCTCGGAATGATTACTCATCGCCGGTGAGTCAGCGCTCGAGCGATCGAGAGCGGTCCGGAGCTCGCTGGAAGATTCGGGAAGGCACGTAGGCACTGAATATATAAGAAACAGCGCAGCATGGAGAGTCAGTCAAGCTTTGGTACTCGCGACCAAATAAATTAAATAAACGTGCAAATAAATAGACTCTTGTACAGTATATATAGTGATATATAAATAATTAGTAGTTAAGTGTTTAGTTAGTTTTATAGTTTTTTAGTGTTTTAAGTGTAATTAAGTTATAAAATAAATCGTTTACTTCGTTAATAAACCAGTGCGTGTTAATTCACACTGCGAACAGTAAAAACGTTACACTATTTTTGGGAGCGTTTGACAAAAATATATTTATGATCAAATATGTTCCATTAATTTTTATAAAATAATTATTTATTATTATTATTTATTAAAACCTGATACCTAATTGAACCTTGACGAAATATGATTGAAACTCGATCATGTTTTCATGATTGAAAAATGATGCATTTGGAAATCTGAAGGAATATGGGAATGTTTGCCAAACATTGTTTAACGTTTATTTGGGCAAATACCTATTGCATATTAAAAATTGCCCAGACATGTTATTGGCAAACATTTAAACAATTGATTTAAATCTCGTTTATATTGAAATCGGTAGAGTATATATACTATATACACTTTACAGTTTTTTGAGCTATCGTAATGAGAAATAAACGACAATAAATGTAAAATATCGTACAACAAACTTAAGTTGGAAAAAGTTCACTTGGTAATTTCTTTTCCAAACCTTGGTTTTTTGATTCTGTATCTACATAGGTAGGACGTTCTATATTATATAATTTTATTATTATTATTATTAAACGAAAGACGCAAAATTAATAAAAAAGGTTTATTTAAATTAATAAACATAATTTAGTTTTATAATTTTTTAATTTTTAAATTCAAAAATAATGAAACCCTTTGACATTTTAATATTAATATATATGTTTAACTTCCAATGCACTGCTGCTAGAGTATTCACTTGGTAGGCGGGAAAATCTAAAGTTGATCTTAATTCCTCGTGTGTTATCAAAAACCTTTGATGCGTTCCTGGATGATGGTCCCGTTGCAATAAAAACTGGGATAAAAAATGGGGCAGCTATCGTTTTGGAACTGATAAGAAGCACCAAGAAAAACGTTATTGACAAAACCTGAAAATAAGAAATTATAAAAAAGTTTACGAAAAATATGTTTTTCATAATTATGAGAAGACCACAGAGCACCTGTGGACAAGACCGAAAAAACTAATGTGGTACACTACTTATGACCCCAAAAATAGGTATATTACTAATACTACCTACTTTTAATGTACCTAATATTAGCAGGGCTCCCACGCCTCTTAAAACTCCTAAAATTCTTGAAAACTCCTAAAATTGCCATTAATCTCCTAAAAGTCCAAAAAGTTTAATATAAATAGTCCAACCTGACTGCGTTTAATTAAGTGTGCTAAAAAATTTCTTTTTTAAAAAGTAATTTAAAAATATATATATATTTTGTATATTTTTAGGTTCTAGTTTATTAAATTCTTTTTAAAATGATAGGTATATCACGACCTACAATTTTCCTAAAAAACAACAAAATATACCTAAAAACAAAATCCATATAGTAGTAGCTCCTATACTTCTGCAAAATTGTCATTTTTAGCCATATTTCGTTTGTTTTCGACAAAAATATACAGTGTTATATATTAAACAAAAGGATTTTTAATTTTCTTTTAAATGATAGCTAAAAAGTAACCAATCTAAATAATGTTTTGGTGCATTATTTTTTCTATTATGAGATTTATGACATTTTTTCCCTCAAAATATAAATATAACATCATTTGACTTTGGTCTAGTTTTTTAGCCATATCTATCGACGAATTTATTTATTAAACCCAAAAAGAATACATGATTCCATACCAGGTACAACAGTAGAAAAATATAAATATACAACAAATATTATATAACATTTATGACATTTTTACTTGTGTATATACCTCGTATATATACAAAAAATAATTTTAACTCACTTTTAATTTTATCTAAAAAATCTCGTAGAGAGATTTGGCTAAAAAACTAGTCAATGTAACCTATTTGTACAAAAGAAGTGATACCTATTTATTTATATTTTGGTTAAAAAGAATTATTAATTTTTTTCTTATTTTTTAAGTACAGTGTAGAGTTTTTTATATTTAATTACATAAATTCATTTGCATACTTTATTTCTCCAAAAATTCTCCAAAAAACCTCCTAAATTCCTAAATAAAAATTGTAATTCAGCCGTGGGAGCTCTGTATTAGTTTAAAATGGTACTTTTTTTAATCAAAAATAATAATAATAATAATAATATTTATATTACCTATATTATAAACAATGTCAAATGTATGTTTCTAACTAAGTTACTTTCTGACTTACCTTTAAATTTGCCATTTTGTTACTGAAAGAACTAATTTGTAAATTAATGTTTTATAAAACAGTAGGTACCTACCTATAGATACAAATATCAAAAATGGTAAAAGTGAAATTGCCTTTTCTATAAGATTGTAGGTAATGATAATTTGATTTGAATTTAATTAGGGTGGGGTTTTCCACAATTTTGAAGGGTTCAGTACATGCTTGTAAATTTAATTAATTACAAGTTGTAATGGTGATTTGTGCTATTTTCAATAATAAACTAAGTATACCACTGCCTCTTATACATATGTAGGTACTTATACCTAATTTTAAAAGTTAAGGAATTAAAAATGACATATTTTATAAAGTTTGAAATAGTGTGACAATAAAATAACACTCAGTTTTTTAAACACATCTTTGGTTCAATTGTATAATTTAAATTATTTAATACCTACTATAGTATTTTATAAAAGGGAATAAAAATAGGAACATAAACAGGTCCACTGTAGAAGGTAGGTAAACCTTTGCATAAAGGCACGTCTGAATTTTTCGAAAAAAAAATTGTCTAATGATCGTTCTCTAAATTTCGACCTCTTTAGCGATCTTAGCAGGCCTTAAAAAAATAAAAATATTTTTGCATGGTCAAATAGCACCATGTCCCAAATAATATATTTATACATATTAAAATCGGTCAACGCGTTTCAAAATAATGGGGTGGTGCGGTTTGAAATCGCACACACTGTATATAGTAGATATACTAAAATTACATTAAGCTTATTATGATTTATAACAAATTGTTCAAATTAATTATAAAAAAATTCATATCAATGAGGGAGCAAAATTCGACCATAGTTTATTTGAAAAACTACCTATTTTTGTATAAATTCTGTTAATATAAATTGAACCACCCTTTTGTATATCTATAAATATTTTGATATACCTACTAAATAAAATACGATTTAGTTTAGAAACAGTACATTTAATTAGATGCATTTTACTATTCTACATATTTTATACTTGTGGTAACAATTCGTTTTTCGTTGTGCCTTATTTACATAAAATTTTATAATAGTCCATTTAATAGTTTAAATGTATGTTAACATTGATATTCTAAATACTTTATTTACCATTTAAAAATTCGAAATTTCTTTTCTACATCTAATGCCCAAATAAAATATTTTTGGTTTAATTTAGAACCTTGGACTATAGAGTTAAAATCGCAACTACATCCTTGATCAAAGTTTAATACCAATATTAACATTCAATAATTAATACATTCAGTGCCCCTAACTAAACAACAGTGTCAGTCTTATTTACAATATAAACATTTAAATTCGAATTTATCTTATAAACAATTAATTTTTGTACATATCGCAAAGTACTTTTTCCATGGGTGTGTTGCCGATGGTTTTTTGGAAAAATACAGCCTCCACTCTGGACGCTGGAACTATCCTCAACAAAGGTAACATCAGCAGTAACCTGCCGAATCTTGCCACCTGACCTGGCAACTGCGTACGACAGTGTTGCCATAGCATTACTTGTGCTTGATCTTGCAAGTTTTCGATTTGGCTTGGGTCTTTTAAACCTCTAGTTTCTGTAATGAAAAAGTAGTAAATTATTTATTGTTAAAAAAATCAGATTTGTTAACATGAGTTTGTAGTTTGTTAATTTTATTTTGTAAAATTTTAACATAATTTTTTGTAGAAAACCATATTTTGTAATTATTTTAACAAAGGATTCCTTATACATATTTAACAAGTGTGCAAAGTGCGAAGTATACGAAAAAAGTTGCCATCACTGGTTTTCAAACTGAAATACAGTGAAGTGGGTTAAAGTTACGAAATACATCAGTAAGTGTTGTAGTAGTACTGATAATTATATTGTACCAAATTTCTTTATAATTTGATCATTTCAGAATGGTGTGTTATTTTTGTGTTCATTTATGTAGGTATGTATTATTTTTTTTTGTTTAGAAAATTGATTATTAAAGCAACATTTCTTTTCAAAATTCTTTTCATTTAAGTTCCCAATTTCCAACAAATACTTTTTTTACCCATGGGTGTACAATAAAGTCTTTTTTTTTAATTACAAGAATTATGGTTGAATTATTGACATAGGATTTTGTTATTAAATCTACAAAATGTTTGTTATAATTACAAACTACTTCTTCAATTAGTTAACAGTTGGTTGTAAACTTAACATAAAGTTATGTGGACCTGGATTAACATAAAATCTGGTTAATATTTGGTTAAAATTAACAAATATTTTATATATTATATTTTATTATTATATTAGTATAATATTTTTAGTGTGTTGTACAAGTAAGTTTACTTTATAATATTAAAATTAAAGAGATAATTTAAATAGTTTTAAACTATAAATAAATTTTTACGATTTTTTGTTTTTAATCGATATGTCTAGAGGTCAATTAATTGTAAAATTGTAAACATGTATGTCTAGGCTTAATTAAAAATTAAATTTTGTTATTGTTAAAAAAAAATAATTTTGTAAAAATGTGCAATTGATTAAAGGAAATATAAAGGACAATTGATTGGAAAAATTCATAGATATTTTTATAAAATTTTAAAATTTTAGTAGGAGTGACGTCACATGTGCACAACTGCAGCTTGCCACAACTTGTCACGGAAAATATAAAACGCACCAGAAGGACATGAAGTCGCAGAGGTTATGTCATTTATTTTGTATTCTGTACCGCGAGATAAGTGTCGTTATTAAAGTAATTTACTAAAAAAGTGATTCAAAGTGATTGGATGATTAAAAACTGCCCTTATATGTATAAATTTAAAAAATGGTGGGACAAATTCGCACGGTGGGATAAATTTAAAAAATAGGAGGAAAAATTAAAAATGTCATAAATTTGAAAATTATCCAAAATTTTCAATTTTTTACAAATTTTTAAGATTAACAAAATTTTCTTTTGGATTTTAATCAAACTTTAATTTATTGTATTTAATACCTTTTCTTCGATCATTTTATCATTTTTCCTACTTACATTTTTAATTATAACTTCTAACGCACCGTTTTTTATTAACTCATTTTATTTATAGGCTCATGTTTTTGCTTTACATACCTGCTCTAAAGAGTACGATTGCTTTAAGACAAGCAAATTCAGCTGGATCCACATGTACAGATTTGAATCTTAGCAGAGTATCGGCCAAAATTCTTACATCAGTTGCCGAATGTCCATTTTTGGCGTGTTCGTTTATATTAAATAAAGGGCTAGCAGAAACATCCAAAGGCATGCACCACTGAATTGCGTTTAGAAGAAAAAGTTCGCTCCAAGCTTCTTCTAAGAGAATAACCTAAAGAAATAAAAAAACAATAAAAATATACCAGTGTATGTAATAATTTCAGAAATATTTTATAATTTTGAATATTATTTTGTAGCTAGAAACCTGTGACGGGTGACGGTATACCATATATGGTATATGTATCTATAGATACACACAACCAAACTTATATGGAATCACCCAGTAATTAGGTACAAGAAACATTATTCCACTTAAAAAAAGTAATTTGGAAATAAAAAGCACTTTATCTGAACAGATTACAAAAAATGTGAATTTCTCTGAGAATAAACTTAAACAATAAAATGCAATAGATACATTTATTTGACCAATATACATAAAAAATACATTTTTGGCAAGTCAGGTACAGGTAAATTTAAAACATAGATTTATATATACAATTTAAAAGTAAATATATACCACAGGTAAAAGTCGCAGGAAAATAGTTTACTGGCTTACAACAAGAGAAAAACTGTTGGAGAAGTCAACAAGAGCTATTTTACTTAAATATTCCTCAATGGAATAAAAACAAAAAGCTAAAATAAATTTTTTGATCGTTAATTTGAAAACATTCAATGGCAGTGACTTTAGGCTTAAAGGCAGTACATTATAGAATAGAATGTAGAATGTAGGAAGTAATGTAGGAAGAAATATTAGGTTTTTGACAAAAACTTTTTGTTAATTTAATAATTATTATAATCAGTGTTTCCACCTCTAGCCTTAATGCAAGCACGAATTCGACGATGTTATTCGATATTAAGATGTTTATTTTTTTATGTTGAACTTTTTTCCACCCTCTAAAACTACTTCTACCAGTTGCTCTGCAACGCATGCGTTGCCGGGTTGTTTAAAGGGCTCTAATCCTTGTTTTAACCTTATCCTTTAAGTTATCAGTTGGATTCAGATCCGGTGAACAAGAAGGCCACTCTAAAACAGTCACACTTTCCATTTCTCAACGGTTTTTCACAACTCTGCTGCAGCGGTGGAATAGGGTTCCAAAAGTATTAGTGCAAAATAGAGTTGACCATTTAAATTGGATTTAAAGCATTAACCTTGGACAATTGAAGATTAGAGGAATGTCTTATTTTCTGATAAATCCAGAATTGGCCTTTGATCAGACGACCGGTGAATTCGTATTTTAAGAAGATGTGGGAGACAAGCTAGATTGAGCTAGACGATCGATCCCTCAAGGCAAAGAAGGAAGTGTAATGTTTTGGGGTGGTGAAAACATTCCTTTGATGCCCATTAGACAATCCCTAAGAGGTCCAATGTATGTGGATTTAGTTCTGCAACCCGTAGTAAGGCTCTGAAAAGGTGCTTTCCGTGATTTATACGGGATAATGCACCTCCATTTAACGGCAGAGTTGCCAAAAATTGTTTGGAAATGAAAGGTGTGACTGTTTTACAGTGGCCTTTTTTGTTCACCGGATCTTAATCGAATTAAGAACTTGTGGAATAAGGTTAAAAAAAGTTTAGTGCTCGTCAAAATTAACCATTTATAAATGGTTATAATTATAATTCAAAATTGCGCGTTTGTGATTGGTGGAAATTAAGAAGAGGGAAATAGTCGTAATAGTAGAGGATCCCAAGTAAGGTCGACCTTCACCCATCTGCTTACCAGATGAAAATTATATTTTATCAAATAAAATATGTTTCTGAACATAAGCCAATAGGGTTGCCTAAAAAAATATGATCATGGCTATAATAAATAAAAAATTAAAAAAATAATTTATTTTTTAAATTTCACCGACTTGCTTGCCAAATGAACAAAATTCCAATGGAAAGCATACAACATACAGAATATATAACAGCTAGGTTGCCTACCTTTTTCTGGTCCCTATTACCTGGTTGCTTTGTACAAACAGGTAAGTTTATATCAGTAATTGCACTCATATGCTTACCACTTAAAAAATATATCAAAATGAAGGCAATTTTATTATGAATACAGAAGTATAGGGTTGCTTTGAAAAATCCGTTCATAAATAACGGTTGCTAGACTTTAAAATTAAAAAATTGGAGCAAGCAAAGATGTACTATCGCTAACAAAAAAAACTTATACAGCTATATTGTGGCTGTGTGAATAAAACTTTTCCGTCAATGTCAAGGTGACATCTGAGTATATGCTATTGAGAAGCGTTTTGGAGCAAACAGTTCGTTTATAAACACGTGTTTTGTGAAAAAAATTAAAATGGCGAAGAAGTGTTTTTTATGTAAATAAAGTGAATCAGTGATTGACATTGATGAAAAATCTTTTAAGAATTGTTTTTTGAAGTTAGCGTACCGAAAATCTATTATATATATTCAAAATACTAAATTTTGTTCATAAAGTCATAATTGATGTGACAGCTCGATGTCACCTTGACATTGACGGAAAAGTTTTATTCACACAGCCACAATATAGCTGTATAAGTTTTTTTTGTTAGCGATAGTACATCTTTGCTTGCTCCAATTTTTTAATTTCAAAGTCTAGCAACCGTTATTCGTAATAAAATTGCCTTCATTTTGATATATTTTTTAAGTGGTAAGCATATGAGTGCAATTACTGATATCAACTTACCTGTTTGTACAAAGCAACCAGGTAATAGGGACCAGAAAAAGGTAGGCAACCTAGCTGTTATATATTCTGTATGTTGTATTCTTTCCATTGGAATTTCGTTCATTTGGCAAGCAAGTCGGTGAAACTTAAAAAATAAATTATTTTTTTAATTTTTTATTTATTATAGCCGTGATCATATTTTTTATGGCAACCCTATTGGTTTATGTTCAGAAATATATTTTATTTGATAAAATATAATTTTCATCTGGTAAGCAGATGGGTGAAGGTCGACCTTACTTGGGATCTTAGACTATAAGTAATATCATAAGGGTATTTAATTTTTCCGAAAAGAATCGAAAAAAACACGTGGCTAAGTAATATTTTAACAAAAAGCATGCTGGTGGCAACAAAAATCCGAGTCGAAGAGGAGGATTTTTGCACCTGCACGAATGCATTTTGTTAAAAAATATTACTTAGCATTGTGTTTTTTCGATTTTTTTCACAGGAAAAATTTGATCCCGAATGGTATTTGACAAGACTATTTCATGAGTAACAGTTAACAATTAAAATATAAATTGCAATTTTTGGTGACAACAGCTGTCAAGTTTTGCCGCGGGTACACTCGAAAAAACTGCTGACAGGTGCTGTCACACAGTTTTTTCACCTAGAAACTATTTGTAATTCAAAATTGCGCGTTTGTGATTGGTGGAAATTAAGACGATGGACAGAGTCAGAGAAATTCAAATTTTTTGTTATTTGTTCAATACAAAATTTGTTTTAGTAGTTTTTTTAGGAATAAAAAAAATAGTTAGGTATAGGTGCTTTTTATTTTCAATTAATTTTTTAAAAGTATAATACTGTTTCTCGTAATCTGTCGTTGTTGAAAATTTAATGGCGTCAATTTTTCAGGTTGTTTTAAACAATTTGTTGACCAAGTATTTTGCAGTGACATTTTTAAAATTTAATAATAAGGATTTTTTGTGATGTAACTTTAGTATATTTGATTACTTAAAACAGTAAAACTATAGTTTAAAGTTTTACTCTCTTTCGCCATTTTATTAAACAATTGATTTTTTAATGAAAAAAACTAAGATTTTCATAAAAACTTACTTGGTCTCTGAACGGTAGACTGGCAAAACTGGGCAAGTTTTTCGCCCATTTGACTGCCATAAACAAAAGTCTAGCCGATGTCTCATAAATGGTCTCGTGGGAGGATGGGTAAAGACTTCCGGTAATGGTCGCCGGTTGCGGTTCCGGTCTTACCGGCCCGCTGCTTGATGACACTCCGCATCCCGATGACGGAGTCTCGTCCTCTTCGTTGGTAACGTCTATGCTTTCTTCTGCAAAAAATATTTATGCTCAATTACTTTGGAAGTCAATTATTTGTGTTATTGCTTTAGAATGCTCGTTTCGAAAATTTAGTTTTTTCCTTATTTACACTATTCAAAATTTCATGACCATTTTAACACCAAATTAACACCATACGTGGTCTATATCGATACAAACCAAAATGGTGTTAAATAAGGTTCGTTGGTCCGGTGTAAATTTAAATACTAAAATGGTGTTAATTTAACTTTCACACAGTATTAAAATAAATTTTACCTGGTGTAAATTGAACTCCTTTTCAGTGTTAAATATTATGTGTTTGTGGTCAAATTAAATCATACTACACAGAAAAAAGGAAAAAAAGGAAACAGGAAGTTCCTTGACGCATTACTAGTATATTACCAGGGGTATTATTCTAGAAAATGGAACCTTCAAGTTGAAGGCTTCAACTCGCTAGAGATAATGTTTTTCCGTTGCGTTCCACTAACTTAAAATACTTCAAGTATTGACAGCTGTTTCCACCTATTTAAGGTCTCTTTAGTATCGAACAACTTGTAGTGTAACAACAAAGCAAAGGACTACCTGAGCTTATATACTCTTCATGTAAGTCAACAGAGGCGAGATTTAAGAACATCACGTGATCCACACCGCCTTTTGCCGCGATCAGTACACACTATGCAACAAGGAATGCACGGCAAATTGTTTTAATCGTTTTAACAGAGTGCTTAAGCACTCTGTTAAAACGATTAAAACAATTTAGGTTGAAGTAACTCTTATTTCACAAACAACATATTTAGTAAACTGAACCATACAGCGGGTTGGTTTCACTAAAGTTTTCTTGGTTAATTTAACCAATTTAAAAAAATAAAATAACTATCTGGTTTAGTACCGTCATACTAATCTTTGTTTATATTAACCTTAAGGTTCATGCCATGGAAATTTCCATAGTTGATTTAAATAAATACTTATGGGTCAACTAAATTAATATAGTTAAATTAACTATTCCTTTTTTTCTGTTTAGGTGCACTTTTCCTTTTTTTCTGTTTAGGTGCACTTAAAATATTTTTAGATAAGCACCGTTTTGGTGTTTGATGTATAAAACATTTTCAACCATAATTTATGGTGTTATATTAACACCACTTGGTGTTGGATTTTGACACCATTTTAAGATTACTTTTCACACCACAGATATTTTAAACAGTGTAATAACATACTTTAAGCGATTTAAAATTCCAGACATACAGTGTTGTCATATCTATAAAATTGTAGTGAATGACTAATCAATCATTGACTAAAAATTTTTGTGCATACCGCTAAGATAATATCGGTAGTGTTGCTATAGTGTTGCTTTATATTTTTTTCATTTAAAATAAATATATACGCTCTATCCACTTAAAACGAAATTAGCAGTACGGTCCTCCATTTGAATGACATTTGTAATTTAAAGTGAACGAGAAGGTCGTCCAAATTGAATTTATTAATTTAAATTCAGCTCCAGAGACGAAATGGATTTTTACCCTTGATGTCTCAGCAAAAAGACTTACATTGCTCCCCAAAGGGTAATTAGGACAATGCCGTCATTTACATTTAATCCTGAACAGATTAAAATGTAAAATGTAAATTGTTCACTGTAATGGTTTTTAAGAAAGAGTCCCGAAAAAAATAGCTTTTGAATAACACAAAAAGTTATACAAGGTGTTAAATAAAATTTGAGATGCAGTTTTTTACCCAGATGATTTGTAATCTAAAAGGCGTTTTTGACAGTCAATCTGTCGGAAAAAAGCCTTTTTTTTGGAAAAATTGACCATAGTAATTTTTTTGCATTTATGAATCGTTTGAGGCTCATAAGAACAGCTTAACCCCAATTTTGCGATTAATGACAAAACACATTTTTTTAATTTTTTTTTTCGAAAACAGTTTTTTTTAAGAAGTAGGTAGTATAATCAAAAAATTTAGAGGACATTTTTTAACGCAGTACTGTAATTTAAAAAACCCACAAAATTGATTTTTGATTTTACTTACTATAGTATAGGCTTTACTTACTATAGTATAGGCTTTATTTTTTTCTTACTATATATAGTAAGAAAAAAATAAAGCCTTTTTTTTTTGGAAAAATTGACCATAGTAATTTTTTTGCATTTATGAATCGTTTGAGGCTCATAAGAACAGCTTAACCCCAATTTTGCGATTAATGACAAAACACATTTTTTTATTTTTTTTTTCGAAAACAGTTTTTTTTAAGAAGTAGGTAGTATAATCAAAAAATTTAGAGGACATTTTTTAACGCAGTACTGTAATTTAAAAAACCCACAAAATTGATTTTTGATTTTACTTACTATAGTAAGAAAAAAATATTTATATACGAGCGCCTGTCTTGGAGTTACATATAAAGTATACCTACCTCTTACTTGAGCTTTGTTTAATCTATATAACTCCAAAACGATCTACCGTGACAAAAAAAATTAGTATAAATTGTGTTTTCGAGTGCTAATTAGCATTTATTTTTTTTGTCACGGTAGTTCAGAATAAATGTTTAGATTGACTATTATATGCAATAAATTCCAAAGACATTTTTTTGTCGTACGTATTTTAAAATCACTATACGAGTATATAGTTATAATTATAATTGATGGAATTTCTTGATTTGGTTCAAGAAGACTAAATAAAGGAGGAGTAAGGCCAATAGCATGCGCAGGAAAAACTACAGGTCAGTTAACTAGATATAACGAAAAACATTAATAATTTCGGGTAGTGACTCCACCGTGAAGTGCCCATAAACATTCTCTTCACTTTCACTGTAAAAAACTGCTTTTATATAATCGTTTAAACGGTTGTTATTCCATTTTCAAGGGATAAATTTCGATTAACACATACAAATTTAATATTTTGACTTGCGCGCCGGTAATACAGATTTCCAAATGTTAGGGACAACTGACAAATGGCAGAGAGCCTTAATAGTATTTTAACTATAACTACACAGTATAAAATTTCTGGTAAAAAACAACACCAAAAGTGGTCTACTTATATAGGTCCACACTAGAAATGGTATATCTAACAACATACAATTAGGTAAATTTTACCCTTTTTAATTGGTTAACAATCTACACGTACTATTCGTACAAAAAACTCGTAACAGTGTAAAAATAATCAAATATAATACACTCTTAGGGGTAAAAGCAACACGCACTATTGGTAAAAGAACTCCAGTCAAGAGTAGAAAATGCTCAATTTGTGTAATTTACTACACAGGTAGGTGTTACGTGTAGGTGTTAAAAATGGTGGGTGTTTTAATATTAAACACAGCATGTTATGTAAAATAAAGTATATTTTATATTACTTACAAACTATTAGATATGAATACAAATAGGCTTTGGCATTAAATTAAAAAAAAAATGATTAACACTACTTAGGTGTAAGTATTCTTATACCCAAGAAGTGTTAATATTTTTTTTTAATTGAATGAAAAGTAGTAATATTTTAAAACCATATTTAGCTTATATAAGTTAAATATTATTTTTCACTAGCTCAAAAAACATAAAATATTACTAATTTCAAATTTCACTTAAAAATAACAGGTAATAAAACATGTTTTATCACAAACATAAGTTGCATCCACTGTCACATTGCACCACTTCACCAGACCACTGAATTTTAATTTAAAATCCATGGTCTTAAATTAAAATAGCATGCCTAGGTACACTACCATCAACTGCACTCGCGCCCTTGCCGTTAGCGAATGGTGATGACTACGTTACTTTTTTACCACAATTTGTATAGATGTCAACACATAATAGTGTCAAATGTACCCCGCATCGAGTTTATCTTTAAATTAACAATAGATTGACACGGTGCTGTGTTAAATGAATTTAAATGAACACGAATGAATTTTACCACAATTTAAAATAAACACTTAATATTTTTGTATATATTAACACCAAATGATTTTACGACTCCATTTGGTAACTTTACAAAAGTACGAAAGTACGAAAATTGGTTGAAACTTGTCAAAAAGTGTATGAATCTCCATGAAAAATATAAACATTAAACTAAAAATGCAATAAAGCCTTTTAAAAAGTTTAAATTTACGTAATAACCTTATTATTATTAACCTTATGGCTTAATTCGAATGGAAAAGTTCTAAATGTCAATTGTTGTTCGACGAGCCGTAATCGAATGCGGCAGGAAAGTTGTAAATATCATCAATTTGTCGGCGGTGGCAGCGGACCTCCAACGGTTCGCGTTCGGTTCGATTGTTTCGCAAAATAACAATAAAACAAAAACGCATCATCCCGTCGACGTCGCGACGGCCGGATCCCCCGTGTTTGTGACAGAAATGTCAAAACAGAAAATACTGAACTGCCACAGCCTGTTCGAACAACAAACATGAAAACTGCTGCTCGTGGACTCTACAGTGCTGTATTCAAATTATTTAGAATTAAACTAAGTATATTTTTTTTTATAAATTTTTAACATTTACGTAAATAAACTTTAATTTATTAAACAATAGGATTAATATAATGAACAAGGACAACATTCGTATACTAAAATAACAAAGACTTTTGTCTTAAACTTAAAATAAAAAAATTGAAAATAATAATAAAGAATGTGACGATTAAAAAAACTTTATGAACTGAGTAGGGTTTTAAAATTTCCGGAAAAATTGGGCCGGAGAAAAAAAAACGAAAAAGTTGAGAAATTTTGCAAAAAAATGATTTTTGCATTTTTTAAATTTTATTCAAAGGGTAATACGAAAAAATGTTAGTCTGAAAAATTACATTTTACATTTTTATGGATACTATTCGTACACTGATATGGAGAAAAAAGTGAATTTTCGACGCTGAATATTCATAATTATAATCACAATTGTGATTATAATATGATTATAATAATTATTCCTTTGCTTTATTTGACACTTCGATTTATAAAATTATAATTTTGTAATTTAACTTTATAAACCATTCATTATTTTGTAATTGGATATTTTCAATGGACTCCTTTTTGCAAAAAATAATAATATTCAATGTTTACTTTTATGTTTTTTTCCTGTAAGGATTTTTTTTAATTGACTATTTCCCTCGTCTTAATTTCCACCAATCCCAAACGCGCAATTTTGAATTACAAATGGTTTCTAGGTGAAAAAACTGTGTGACAGCACCTGTCAGCAGTTTATTCGAGTTTACCCGCGGCAAAACTTGACAGCTGTTGTCACCAAAAATTGCAATTTAATATTTTAATTGTTAACTGTTACTCATGAAATAGTCTTGTCAAAGTGCCTCTGCGAGAAACACAACGTTAAAACGATTTTTAATCTGTATAAACATAAAAATTGCCGCCGTTAGATTCTGTGCAGTTGCAGTGATTTTTAGCATGCGCGAAACAAGATAAAACAGGGTTTGTTGTGGTCTGTGATTGTGTGGATTGTACATATTCATTCAAATATCTCAATAAATAATAAATAATAATGTTGAAATTAATTATTATTAATATTAATAATAGTATATTAACTGTTACTCATGAAATAGTCTTGTCAAATACCATTCGGGCATCTAATTTTTCCTGTGAAAAAAATCGAAAAAACACAATGCTAAGTAATATTTTTTAACAAAATGCATTCGTGCAGGTGCAAAAATCCTCCTCTTCGACTCGGATTTTTGTTGCCACCAGCACTCATGCTTTTTGTTAAAATATTACTTAGCAACGTGTTTTTTCGATTCTTTTCGGAAAAATTAAATGCCCTTATGATATTACTTACGAAATAATGTAAGTTGTTGATTGCTAGTTTTTTTCAAATGTTTACATATATTATCAAAAAAAAAATCAATTTTCCCCAAAAAAGACAATTTTTAAGGCCTGGGAAAAAAACAAAAAAAAAACAGTTTTCCCCAATTTTTCGGTTTTTTTTCGACACTTTAAAACCATAGAACTAAGTGGTAAATGCTTTTTGACTTGTGAAAAAATCAAAGTAATTTTTTGTAAATTTTTGACAGAAATTAAAAAAAAAATTAAATGACAACGCATTTTCCATTTCCATTTCTTTGTGGAATTCACAATACAATACTTTGTTCCGATTAAAAACCTGAGAAAATTAACATTTTTCTTCCCATCGATGTAGCCATGATAATTGAATGGTGTTATGCAACAGGGAACCATCCCTCATAATAAAAAAAGCGGGATAAATATAATAACGTGATGTGGCCATGTAGAGCCACCTTTTGAAAATATTTTAAAGAAATAAAACATGCGGAAAAATACTGAATTAAAATAGCTTTAAGCTGCATGGTTGTGCCAACTTTCCCTTAAATATTGAAATTGTGAAAGGTTATACAGCGCCAAGCGGCTTGGATAAAGCTACTTTTGACTAAACGCAATATATTTATACTGCAACAAGGATCAATGCTACTTGGATCTGGTTTAAGTTGAAAAAATAATGTTGGAAAAAAATGAACCAATGGTTTTATATGACAAAATCAATATTTCCAAAAAAATAAGAGAAGATCAGGAGGATCTCATAGCTAAAATTAAAAGATTTTAAATCTATTTATCACCAAATTCCAAATGATGGTTTCCATGATATAAATAATAGGCAAAAACTATCAGTTTTATTTATTCTACAAGGGACCAACTAACAAATTTACTTATTTTATTGAAAATATAGAAAAAAATATTATAAGAAAAAAAAATTTACTACTAAATTAGCGATTTGGAAATAAAATTAAAACGCTGAATCTATAATTAAAACCACAGTAATGAAGGAACCACGTAATTTTTCGGACGCTATTATCTTAGTTTTGCAACAGTGAGGGTTGGTTTCCTGTTGCATAACACCATTTAATTAGGAATCATATCGAAATATTATTATGTTTATGGCTAACTTGATTTATACTTTTAAAATTAATCTTCTCAGTTATTTATTAATCGATTTTCTATCGGAACAAAGTAGGTATACAGAATATTATTTAAAATTTTAGGGTGAAGGGCTAAATTTTACTCACATATATAAAAAATTGGCTATAGTTTAAAGTTAATTTACCTTTACCTATAGGTACTCCAAAATTTCGGTATATTTAATGATAATATTGTGCTTGGTCCAGTCCTGCGTGCAAGTCAATAAAGCGTTAGACGGCCGTCATAAAATAACAAACCGAACCGAAGCGTACTGTTCTGAAGGGTTCATAAATGTACATAATAAAATAATTACTGCCTCGCATCAAGTCAATCGCATCGGCTTTATCTGACATATAAATTCGTTTGTTGTTATCGTTACCGATGATTAAATTGGATCGTGCACGTATGATCGTTCCGAATAAAATATCTGCCCCGCTTATTTACATGTCTACATTAAAATTAATGTCTGAATTTTATGATAAACATGTTTATTTATAAATGTTTGTTTAGACATAAATAAATTTTATATAATTTTATTATTAAATTACTAAATTATTCATAGTTTATTTATAGTACATTCAATTTACCAAATCACCACTACACGCGAAGAGCATAGTACCTATAACTCACACATTTTTGTCGTAAATTCTTGCTATAATTGTGGTGTATACAACCCTAACCACTATATGTTTTTCCTTTGTACTGTCTTTTTGACTTTGCGGGCAGTAAATTAGATTTAACTGAAAGCACTAAAAATTTCTGGTGGGAACTCCACCGTGAAAACATTCTCTTCACTTTCACTGTAAAAAACTGCTTCTATATCAGCATTTAAACGGTTGTTAGTCCATTTTCAAGGAATAAATTTCGATTTACACATACAAATTTTACCAAGTTAGAAATTGTTACGCGAGTTAATCATTTTTAGATAACAATTAGTATTTGTCGTAGAAACAGTATAATTTGCAACTCGTTTATAAACTTTTCTAGACACTCGCAAGCTCGCTCGTGCCTAATTAAAAGCCGTGACTAAAATGGCGTTTAAGAAGTTGATACATAATATACTATTATTTTCAATATCTAGGTATTAGAATGCAGATCGACAATATATCACTTTGCGCTCTTAATACACAAATAGCTATAGTATTTGTTTGAAAATTGCAGTTGACGGTAGCAAAGTTTAACAGTTGTCTACACAGTGCATGACTTGGTAACGAGCTTACTCTCTAAAAATGAATAATAATTATCGTCAACAGCAATTTGTATCCCGGACATTTAGCAGTCAACTCCCATGTAAAATTGTCCGCTGAATCCAAAAATGTCGTCAAAAGTTAAAAAAAAATTAGATTCATCACTAAAGATAACCTTACTCCACTACACTTCTATCCAGTTTCTTCTTTCCTTGCACCAAGCCAATATCATTTTCTTTTCTTTTTGCGTAGGTAATGGTTTTTCTTTAGACTGCAATTATTTTTTATCGATATTTTAAAGTTTAAAAGTTTTAAAGTTTCACAGTTAAATGTTGATCCACCATACTTATTTCATTGAGGATAGTGGGTTTTTGCAAATTCGAACCAACTTTCTTTTTAATCGTTTAGTTTATAAATTTCTTGAAGAAAAATAACTATTATCCTATTATTTTTTCAGAAATGGCGAATGCGCGGGTAAATGGTTTTGTAAATAAATTATGGTAAGTACTTTAAATATTTAATATAAATTATAAAATTATTTCGGTATTTAGTAAAAACCATTGTAATTTGTAATCTTTCTTTTAAAATATGTAATAATATTATTATAGTAAATAGTTATACCTTTTAAAGGCAAAATATTTATACAATTTTGTCATATGATTTTACTAAAAAATTACATACCATCGTTGTCACTATTGCAGTCCTTTGAAGGAGATGGTTCCCTGTTGGGTAATCCTGGGTGAGCCACTGGTGGTAGCAACCCATGGCCGTATCTGGAAGGTGTCAACGCCATTGTAAGAGATACTGGGGGCCTGAAAATTCCAAAACTATTATTACTATAGAAATCCTACTATCCCACATATTAGACTTTTAAAAATGGTGAATGCACCAGAAAAAGTATTTCTTGAATAACTTATTATTTATTTGTGCTAAATTAACAAAAGTAATTATTGCTTTATTTACAAAATTGATTTAACAAAGACTGACTGACCTAGTAAAGCAACATTTCCATTCGACTAAAGCTTATACCAGTGGCGTGCATACAATGAAAGCACAAATACATTGCATATCCTGACGTTTCCGATAATATAAATTATAATTTTCCCTATTTTCATAGAAATATTACTAAAGTATTATTTCTTTCTTTTATCATGGACTGCCAGTGTAAACTGGAGCAACAAAATAAAAGTTCTCGATATTTTAATAAAAAAAATCTATAAAAATTATAAATGCCTCTGCGGGTGTAGTCATAAAAATAAAAAGTATTGTTGCCCATGCTTACTCTTGAGCAAAGAAAGAAATGTTTGATGCATGCCCCATTTAAAATGACACTGCACGCCTCTGATTTATACCTGACATTTTGTTTTGATTTGAAACGACGCCGATCAAAAGATTAGACTATATGGATGCTAGATGAAGTGTGAATCGTAAAATCGTTTGAAGCTTTAATATCTGATAGATATGCTAATGGTTTTACATGCCGGCACGCCATTTTGTCACATCAAACGATGTTCTGCCTTTCCATGTTCTACATAAAGTCGGTTTGTGAGAGAATCGCGTTTCTCTGAGAGATTATAGTTCAGCTTAACGTGGACGAAATCGATAATATTATGATACGGTTCAAATATCACACTATGCGGCTCGATATGGATTAAATTTGATGAGTAACAAAGTCAAAATATCACAAAATATAGTGGTAAAAATGTATAATTTTTCAAGAGGAATTTGAAGTTAGGTCATCTGGAAAATATTTTTTCATCCAAAGATTATGTTTGCTTTCATCATGTTTTAAAATTGATTGAGATACCAACTTTGTGAAAAAACAAAAAACAAACAAACGCGTTAATTGTCATTGTAGCCAAGCTAATAAAAAAGTCAAAATTAGATTGGGTTACCGTACGTAATTTATGTAGGGTGTTATGTAATTAATGTTACTATCGCTAACAAAAAAAACTCATACAGCTATATTGTGGCTGTGTGAATAAAACTTTTCCGTCAATGTCAAGCTGACATCGAGCTTTGTCACATCCATTATGACTTTTTTAACAACATTTTCAACCAAACAATGCAGACGAACTCTGGCAAGCCATTGAAGCCATTTGGAACGAGATAAAGCAAGACGGCGACTTCCATGCTTTGCCGTTTGCGGGCAGTAATTGACAAAAACAGAGGGATGACGAAATATTTTTTTTTTCAAACTTCAACCTAACTTTGTATTTAATTTTAGACCTTTCAAATGTGACGTATTATGTTTAAAGCCATAATTACTCCAACGAAATGATAGAAAATCAGGAACACTAGATTTTTAAGCTGTATGAGTTTTTTTTGTTAGCGATAGTATATATTAAAATGAGTTGTTCCTTAGGGTCCATAAAGAAGCGCCTGAAACTTTTTTTTTCTAAATTCCAAAGACTAAAAATAATTTATAATAAACTTTATCCTACCAAAAAGTACGCCACTGATCGACTAGGAACTTTAGGCTAATCTGGTTGCCTAATTTAATTTGTTATGTTATGGTTGGTAACAACAGCGTTTCAAATTATGTCAAAAAAGTTGACAAACATTGTTTAAATTTAGCTTAATTACAAAAATGACAAAATTAACAATGCAAATTGTCAATTTGGCGTTTTTATTAATTGTTGGTCATGTCATTTTTGTACTGAAGGTAAATTCAAACAAAATCTGCCAACTTTTATGACCGAATCTAGTGCATTTCTTTTAAATTTTAGGTTATGTGCTCAAATTGTAAATATCTTAACTAAGGGAAGTGCTGTTGGATTTATTTACACAAATTAAATGTTTAAAGTTTTACCTGTGAACTGGTCCCAATTTCATTTGAGTAAACAGAAAGAAAAAACCGATGAAAAAATTAATTTTGTGGTTATGGATTTTTTAAAATAGGTACTTAATTTTCTAATCATTGCTTAAGCTAATAGCTGGATGAGTAAATAAATACAGAGGGGCATAAAACTTTTGTATTTATTGAGTTTTTATTTATTATTTGCAAGAAAAATTTTTAGTAATTTTTTTTTACATCTGGCAACGCGCAGCTACTTTGTTGGTTGGTATCTATGTACTCACAGAACACAAGTGTGCAGAGATGAACCAAGTGTGTAACCAGTGGCGTATCACAAAAAATATAAAAAACTTTTAATGCATATTTTTTCTTTATCTTTGAAAAATATTTTTTTAAATATTTTTCCTTTACTCATTATGTCAAAAGGTATTCAGTATTTTAATATATGACATTATAATTATAATTACATCGCACCCTGTATATTTTAAAAATAATTTGACAACATAGCACCAACCAGCTGATCTGGATCATATCAGATTATTTTGAAGACATTTTATTGGGTATTTTTGTTAAATAAGAAAATACATCTTTATTGTTAGGTACTTGTTTTTCCTTTGACAAATTTATGAAATGACTTACCCAAACACCCCGACTGCTACAGCTGCCTCGCGCAGCGCCCTTTCCTGTTCTGCACTCATGTCTCTTAAGGTCTCCGGACGTATGGTGGCCGTGTTCCTGGGTTGCCTTTCATTTTGAACGGCTAAAATTATAACTTTATAAGAACAGTTATCACCATTATTTTATATCTGCAATCTATAAGAAATAATACATTTTATTAAGTATAGTAATCTTTGATTTTTTTAATATTAAATTTTATAGTACATTATGTAACTCCATTTAAGTTAGGAGTTTATAAATTATAATTATGCATGATTGTAGCTTGCGGAGTAAGTTTATAATAAACGAGTCTTTTTAAGAAGTTTTTAAAATGAATTGCATTATGCAATTTGCCTACCTATAGGTATACTTTATCTACGACTAACACAAATTTATGTTTTTCATAATTTAAAGCCAATCTTATTTGAAATTTTATCTGACATATGTCAAGAGGTTTAAACTTGCTTAAGGTAGTATCTTCATTTGAAGAGTTTCCATAGATCTTCAAAATTTATATAATGAATTATATGTATAATTGTTACAGTGGTGCCATATCAAGGGGGAAGTGAAATGCACAAGCTAATTCTTCAGATATGAACCCTATAGAACATGCCTGGGATTACTTGTCCAGGGTAATTAAAAATCGCCTAAAATTTTATTGACAACCTCATAAGAGGGATGTACAGGCGTGTTCAAGCTTTGTTACAAAGTAGGCAGTGGCGTGCATACAATGAAAGCACAAATGCATTGCATACCCTGACGTTTTTACATTTTTTATATTATAATATGGCGTATACGCCATTTAATTTTAATTCCGATAATAAAAATTATAATTTTATTAAAATGGATACTGAAAAGTTTATTTTAATCGCCAATGAAAATCTTTATTATATCATAGAAGAACATCACAGTCAAACACTCAATAATTTCGCTACGTTCGACCGCAATCTGCTAGAGGGTATTTCCATTGTAACGGGTGCGACACTAAATCTGCGTTTTTCATGATAATAAAGTGTTTGTTCATAAATATCAAGATACGTTAATATAAAAAATAGTATAAAAAATTAGGTATTTAACTCAAACAAATTGTCAATAAAACGTATAGAAAACCTTTTATAACGTCATGAATAGCGTAACGGGCGCGACCTTAGAAAATCGACAAATGCGATCAAGTTGGCTTCTAAAGTTGATACTGTAAAATTTTGGATGAATGCATATGGTAATAATTTTTTGTGTAAAACTTGAATAGTAACCTTAAACAATCACGTATTTTAAATGCACAAATATTGTATACTTTATTTTCTAAAATTTTCTCAAAATGTAACGTGTGCGACATTTGAACATTTTATCGAGTATTGAAACTCCGTGTTTATTCCTAATGTTAGCTTCTTAGCATCACAATGTACGAATATTTTAAGGTTATAAATTACGTCGCAAATAAACTATTTGACTTCAGATATAGTTGTTATTATTTATACTACTATTATTTCTATCATAGAAATTCAATGCAAGAGCTGTTGTCAGCTCTGTGTATTATATATACAGACGTAAGAATGGTTATATGTATGTCATTTGTCAAAATTCCAGAGGAAGGTTTTGTCCCTGGAGCCTACACAAGGAGTCCGAACTTGTATACAAAAATCTTCCTAAGATAACAGAAGACGTCAATACGCATCGAAAATCAACGCCGCTGGTAGTGAAAAAATACTTAATTTTTGCGATTTACAGGGCAGGTTCTGTCAATTTCCCCTATTAAGTTTGGCGTCCTTGTGTGGGCTCCATGGTTATGTCACTGAATTTGTAACGTTTTTTATTTTGTCACGACTTAAGTCAAAAAATGTAAATATTTAAATTTTTATGGGCGCTAATAAATGGATTTTTAAATAAATGGTCCTTAATTTTGATGCAAATTTTCTTTTTTCGATAGTATCGATATATCGATAGTTTTGGCTTAGGTTGTATCGAACTATCGATAGTAAAATTTATCGATAGTTTCCCACCTCTAAACTCGTGCCACAGTTATAAACTAAATGGGTTAAAGAGTTATTTTATATGTAATGCTAAACTCCAGTGTAATTTATAACAAAGCTGTTTTTATTTAGCAGGTTTGTGACGAAGTAGACATTAAATATAAGGAGAAGGTTTGGTCACGCCTAAAAAATTATTCATTTACATTTGTTCACATTCTTTATTAGTACTGAGGAGATACTTATTATTTTGTTTCACAAAAACCTATGAAATATATCCAAATTTTCAGATATATCAAAATATTTGATATTGCCCCTTAAAAAAGAAAATCGTAAAAATCCAATATGAAGGACAATAATAATTATAAAACCTCATAGTAAATCCTGTAGAATCATAGATGCATCTAACGTGAAGAGACATGGCCGCGTGTCCGTTATCCCGCAATCAGGTTAATATTGCGTAAATTGTGGCCGTTAACGCGGCACGCTATGTATGCATCCTTCGTTACGGTACCCTTTGACGAAAAACCGAGTGAAAACATTAGACAACGTGACCAAAGCTGTGGAATTTACGCGGCGGGGCGCCCATTTGCGTGGCAAATTACCCTTTTTTTCCACGCCGACCCATAGGCATACGCACGGCACGTGCGTGTACGCGTATGCAAAATAATCGAGCGTTATGTTCAAATGACATGTAACTTGTGTCACTTTGGGGTTTTCAAGATTGTTTATTTTAATGACCCGTTTAATGGGAAGATGAACTCTTTTTAAAATCAGCAACGGGTATACCCATTATGATGTGATTGTTACAAATAAGAGCAGCGGCATCACTTTTGATCATCGTAAAAAAATCAGATTTGTTAACTTAAGTTTGTAGTTTGTTAATTTTATTTTTTTTAATTTTAACATAATTTTTTTGTAGAAAACCAGGCTTTGTAATTATTTTAACAAAGGAAAATATTTTACGGTAATTTTGTAAGCATTTTGTTAATTTTAAAGGTTACATATTATTTTGTTAATGTTTAACAAACGCAGTCAATCAAAACATTTTCCACTGACAATACACATCAACAAGTTCAACTGCAACTAATTCGTAACGTGTTAGTAACAACTGTCCAGAGTGTTTATAATTACCAGAAATCTGTTATTATTGTTATTCGGATTCCTTATACCTATTTAACGAGTGTGCGTGGTACCTATTCGAAAAAAGATGCCATCACTGGTTTTTAAACTGAAGTGGGTTAAAGTTACGAAATACATCAGTAAGTGTCGTATTAGTACTGATTATGGAATGCAATCTTGCAACAAAATGTACAATCTTGGTATTGCAAGATTTAAGAGGTGTAATCTCGCAATATCTCGGTATTTTGCGAGATCTCGCAGATTTAAGATTAATAAAAAAATACATTAGTATAATTATTTGTATTACAACTTTGTTAGGTTACATCGTAAGGGCGAAATAAAGAAATAAAACATAAATTATATAATTCTTTTAGGACTATTCCACTCATTACTTTATGGACAAATCAGATTTCAGAAAACGAGTGGTTTTTTCAGTTTTGCAGCGACTATTTCCCTGGTCTTAATTTCCACCAATCACAAACGCGCAATTTTGAATTACAAATGGTTTCTAGGTGAAAAAACTGTGTGACAGCACCTGTCAGCAGTTTATTCGAGTTTACCCGCGGCAAAACTTGACAGCTGTTGTCACCAAAAATTGCAATTTATATTTTAATTGTTAACTGTTACTCATGAAATAGTCTTGTCAAATACCATTCGGGCATCTAATTTTTCCTGTGAAAAAAATCGAAAAAACACAATGCTAAGTAATATTTTTTAACAAAATGCATTCGTGCAGGTGCAAAAATCCTCCTCTTCGACTCGGATTTTTGTTGCCACCAGCACTCATGCTTTTTGTTAAAATATTACTTAGCAACGTGTTTTTTCGATTCTTTTCGGAAAAATTAAATGCCCTTATGATATTACTTACGACTATTTCCCTCGTCTTAATTTCCACCAATCACAAACGCGCAATTTTGAATTACAAATGGTTTCTAGGTGAAAAAACTGTGTGACAGCACCTGTCAGCAGTTTTTTCGAGTTTACCCGCGGCAAAACTTGACAGCTGTTGTCACCAAAAATTGCAATTTATATTTTAATTGTTAACTGTTACTCATGAAATAGTCTTGTCAAATACCATTCGGGCATCTAATTTTTCCTGTGAAAAAAATCAAAAAAACACAATGCTAAGTAATATTTTTTAACAAAACGCATTCGTGCAGGTGCAAAAATCCTCCTCTTCGACTCGGATTTTTGTTGCCACCAGCACTCATGCTTTTTGTTAAAATATTACTTAGCAACGTGTTTTTTCGATTTTTTTCGGAAAAATTAAATGCCCTTATGATATTACTTACGATAAAACTACTATTTAGGTGAAAAAACACATGTTTATACGAGTTGCACCAACCAATTGGTTGCTATGCGAAAAATAATTGCCAATGTTGACGTTTCTAATTTTAAAATAAAAATGTCAAAAAATTCGTTTTAGTAGTTATTCTAATCAAAAAAAAAATATTCGTCAAATAGTCTTGCGGAATACCACTCGCAATAAAATGTTTCCTGATTTTTTTTTTTTTGATTTTTTAATCATGATTTTTCCTTGGAAATTTTGCTCTTGGCATTAATTTAAAACCACTCGCCTAGCAGCTCGTGGTCTTAAAAATTAATGCCACTTCCAAGTAAAAACATTCCTATAAAAATCAAAAATTTTATCGGTAAAATTTTACCACTAGTGGTATATAATATACGAATACTAGTGGAATATAATATACGAATAATCATCAAGCTATTGAAGCAAAAATCATAAACATGACTATAGTCATATACCTAGTTATAAAATTATTTATTGAAAAAATTATACATTATTTTAAAAATGACTTCTCAAAAAACAAAAAATACACATGGAAAGCGCTGCGTTCTAATCTCGCAAATCTTGCGAGATCACGCGTGATTTTAGTGCAAGACTAGGTAATCTTGCAGAATTAGTGCGAGATCTTGCTATTTCGAGATCTTGGTATACCAAGATTGCATTCCCTAGTACCAAATTTCTTTATAATTTGATAATTTCAGAATGGTG